CACGATGAAGGGTCGAGCAAAGTCCAAATGCTCAGCAACCCCCCTGGAGTGCCTAAAGACCCCCAAGAAGACCCTCTGAGACTCTCTGTGCAGACCCCAGCAGCTAATACGTATTAAAATGTCTTTTGATAAAGAGAATGCATACATATATCCCCGGCTAATAAATACATGTATCATCTTGAGACAAGCACAAACATTAAGCCAAGTCACTCCCATGCGTCCCTCATTCCTTTTAATACTCCCTGTCCCCATAAGCTGTGACTGAATTATGCATGCATTTCATATGTAAAGTAGGAATATTTTGTCCTTATGCAGGAAAAAAGTGTTTTGGATCCTCGCAAAGTGAGTAAAATTCCCCATGCGTACAGTTTGGGTTGATCCTACACTGAATTTTCAGAATTGACTCCTTGAACCTGTTAGGTTTCTTGCTTTGTTTGTGGAAGGCAATGGCAAGTTTTTTTATCCTGAAGACGTATACAATTTAATGAGAGCCATGTTCTTCCATCCAAATTGAAGTAGTCCATTTATACTTCAAGCTGATTATAAAGTTCCAAAAGCTCGGTTCCTTAGACCATAAAAGGTGAAAAAGTTTTCTCCTGTGCTTTGGCAATATTTAAGGAGACTACCTTGGAGTAGGTTTCCTGTATGAGTTGCGAACTACCTCAAGGTCCAGGTTTGTGATGGTTTAATAAAGCAAATGATCCAGTTTGCATGTACAAAACTGAATGCTTTATTCATCACAACTTTGGTATATATAGGGTTCTGGGAAGGAGAGACAAACATTCCATTCATAGCTGGGGTTAAAGGTCAGGAAACACAGGGAGATATTTTTCTTCAAACAGATAAACAGATATTTCTTTATCACAATCACAAGGCAGATGGGGCAAACAAAGTGATAAAGGGATTTACCTGTGGAGCCTACAAGTCTGCTTAATTAAAAGATAATGTAAGAATTTCAGGCAATGAATGTAAACAGACTTTCCTTGTCTTTGTTTAAATCCCATGGTTTCTGGCTAAGATCATTTCTTATCTCTGCTGTGTCATAATGAATTTATACTCCAACATCTCCCCCTTTTTGTTTTCAAGCTGCAAGATTGAGGCTTTGCACAAAACTGCAATTAACCACGCATTGTATACAAGATAATAAACAGAGAATACAAAGCATAATACAAAAAATACAAATAGGCCCATTAATACTACTCTAAATGCTTTCTTTAACTAGGGTACTATACTAAACATATTAAGCCAACTAAACATGCCACCTAAGCCTTGATTATTATCTTCTTTAAGTTGATCTCAAAATTTCTTTAACTTATCAATGCTTTGATGCATCAATTCAGAATGAGCTAATAACAAAAATCTACAGCTGCATTTTAGAAGCAAAAGTATTCTTAAATGGATTTAACAAAAAACACTTCAGCCTTACATTTAACACAAGTAAAAATTAATTTAGCAAGAAGGCCTTTTTTTCCAGACAATGTACAGCTCTTTTTATACCTGAAAAAATGTTTCAAGCAGCTTTATGCCACTTGCATCAATCACAAAGCCAAATATGTCAATAAAATATTGGAACTTTTAACCATTTTACCATTGCTTCTTGCTTCCTACACTCATGTGCCCTTCTTACATGGAAAGTATAATTATACAAAGGCATTACATGTCACAATAATTTGGGCCATAAAGCTTGGCATTATAAAGACATATGAAGGAATCATATCAATTTAAAGGCATTCTGCATATGTTTATAGTCAGTTTTAAGAAAAATATGAAAGTCTTGCTGTCCACCTTAATCCATAAAAACTCTGCTTTGTTAAACCTGTTTCCGTTGAATTAACCAGAAAACACTTCAAATCAAATCTGTATGTAATAGCTTGTCACCTCTGTAGTTCCTATAACTGGCACCCATGTATTTCTCAAGCCAAATTAGGAGATAAAAATTAAACCCACTAAAATTAAGGTTCAGAAAACTGAAAGTGAGGAAAACAGACTGGCTTTTAACATAAGCACAGGTGATCATACCTACATTGTGGTAGGTATAGAGAGACATAACAAAGGTCATAAAAATCAGGCATCTATGTTCTTGATTTCAGGGACTAGATGCAACCTAAGCATTGGTGAAACAAATGTGCTTTCTATAGCAGTCACACCTATGAGGTCTTGTTTACAACTTCCTAGTCCTTTTGTATCTGTGCAGTCTGTCAGTGGTGTATGGTGAGTGTCAAAGTGACAACAATGAGGCAAATACGGATTTAAAATGGCAACTTACTGATGTTTTTTTAAAAACAGATACCGTGATTTTTCTTAGTATAACCAGATTCGATTCATGTGAAATCTTGTATGAGTCCTCATATGAATTAGCAGGGAATCTTTTCACTTGCTGAAACAATTAGAAAACAAAGACAAACATTATTTTAACAACAAAACAAAAATTAATATTACATTGTTACACTAGAAGATTCTATACTGCAAACAAAAGGCAAGGCATTTAGTGATTTTATTTTACAGTCTCTGATTCTTGTTGTTGCTTTCTTTGACTTCACTGTTCAGTATGGTTCTTCATTTGGCTTCATTTTTAGGAGTTCTCATTTGTAGACATCACAGGAATCAAGATAACAGTTCTTTCCATTTTTACTTAAGTGGCTCGCCATTGCTTATTCAGGCCAGTATTTTGGTTTTGAGAAGACAAAACTTAAACATTCACAGTTAATAACAATATAAATTTATAAAATGATTTGCAATTTCATCTCTGATCTTTAATTATAGGAGTCAGGGTATTATATTGATCTTAGTAGATGACAGTGTAAAGGCAGCTTTAAGGGCCTTAGACAACAAAAGAGAACTCAGCCTGTTTATTCCCTAGAGAATCTTTGCTTTGTAGGCAGTAGGTTTAGCTTTAATTGGTTTCTTAGCTTTCCTTGAGAAAGGTAGCTTTTCTTTTTGCTTTCCCAAGAGGTTTTGGGGTTTGCCTGTTGCTTCTTTACGCCCCCCCCAAAGGGTTTATTAGAAGCAGCCAACTGATAAGGGAACTGAGTGATGGAAGGGGTTTCAGTTTGCAGTGCCTCCCTCCCCCTATCCTGTAAGCAGGAAAATTCAAAGCAAGAGAGAGGGTTGGATTTTCTATGCCCTCCCCTCAGACTGCTAGACAAGAGAACTTTTTTTCCTCAACCACAAAGTAGCAAAGTCACAGTTTTTATAAAGCAGAAGGTTTTAGTTTTTCCCCATCCCAGAATGGACGAGACAGAAGACGAGAGAATCCACTTCCCCCCAGCCCCGAGAAATCGGCAGTTTAAATCTTCCTGCGTCAGGGTATACAATTTTCTCTGGCCGGAAAGATTTAAACCTCCCGCCCGGTTACTAAGCAACAAACGATCTCTTTTGTGTAACACACCTTATCTCTTCCTTTGCAAAGGCAGACTTTTAGCAAGAGGACGTTTAACGTTGTTTTTTTTTTCCCCTCCTGGCAGACTGTTTTTGTCAGGGGTTCGTTTTCTTTTTGCCAAAACTCTTTTTTTTTTTTTCTGAATACGATATTTTGGCAAAAGGTTCTTACAGGAGCAAAACACAACCAAGAACAAGGCACTTCGCTATAACTTCAGCACAAAGATCCATTCCACAGGAAACTCCCTAAAACTTTCTGTATTCCAGTTTGAGTAAAACATCGGTTTTAAGTTACCCACAAGAGATTAAAAAGAGTAATGAGAGATTTCGCTTTCTTCTCTCAATCACTTACGTGCAGGGTCGGCGTGGGACCCTCCCCCCCCCCCCGGCTGGTTCCCCATTCCCCCTCAATTGTCGGAGATAGAGAGGCGTCTGGCGGCAGTCAGAGTACTCCAGGCTGGGCGGCTCGGAATCGCTGGGGGAGGCGGTCAGGCAGCTCTTCCGATTGGAGAACGAGTTTTACGGGCTGGGCGCTTGTCGGGGACGGGCGACTCAGAGAGGCGGGGGGTCGCGGGCCGGCTCGGTTTCCGCGGCAGCGGAGAGGCTGGAAACTGAAGGTCGACGAGGCAGGCGGCGAGCAGCCCCCACTGGGCAGCGGCCGCCATTGGCAGCGGTAGCAGGCGGCGACACAGGAACTCGCTGAGGCAGCGCGGCAGCTCGCTAGCGCTCGCCCGCACCCCGACCTTGCGCGGGATGGCGGCGGCGGCAGCGCTGGAAACTGGAAGGCGAGACGGGCGGCGGTCAGTCCCCCGCGGCAGCGGCTGCTGCTGCTGGAAGCGGTACTAAGCGGAGGCGGCCGCGGCCGTAGGGACTTTAGGGGCGTCCGGCAGTAGCGGTGCCGAGGAGCTGCCGCTATTTTGGCGCTCTCTTTCCCCCTGCAGTGGCGCTGCCGTCCCACAGCAGTAAGTTTTGCAAGGAAGAGTCATCTAAATCGAGCCCATGTTGTTTAAGGAGGCATTTCATCAGTTCGTAAACTGTCTTTTGCTCTGAGGACATCTTAGATCGCATTTCCTAAGCAGTCTTTTGTTCAGGGCAGTTGTTTGCCCGTCTTTTTTGTTTCGAAGCTATTTTTGGCCCCTACGTGCTTAAAGCAGCCTTTTTGTTTCGATCGGAGGAGGCTCTCTTTTTGGCCTCCGAGCATTCAAACCCGCCCTATTCCGCAATCGCGTCTACCTTCTGTCCAGCAGAGAGGAACTGGTTTAGCGCGCTTTTCGTTCTGTTCGATTGCGACCCGTCACCGGAGCAAGACCTCTTCTCCGTCCTTGCCTCTATTCCCCTCAAGGATTCATGTTGCTGTTCTCGGGAGCCATTTGTGACGCTTTAAGGAAGCAACGATCCAGTTTGCATGTACAAAACTGAATGCTTTATTCATCACAATTTTGGTATATATAGGGTTCTGGGAAGGAGGGACAAACATTCCATTCATAGCTGGGATTAAAGGTCAGGAAACACAGGGAGATATTTTTCTTCAAACAGATAAACAGATATTTCTTTATCACAATCACAAGGCAGATGGGGCAAACAAAGTGATAAAAGGGATTTACCTATGGAGCCTACAAGTCTGCTTAATTAAAAGATAATGTAAGAATTTCAGGCAGTGGATGTAAACAGACTTTCCTTGTCTTTGTTTAAATCCCATGGTTTCTGGCTAAGATCATTTCTTATCTCTGCTGTGTCATAAAGAATTTATACTCCAACACAGGTTTGCATTCCAAAAGGGTTTTGTTAGCAACACTATACCGTGAAAAGTCTTGCTCACTTCAAAAGGAGGTAACAAGGCTTTTTTTGTATAAATCTATAAGTAGCAGCTAAGTTTGCTGAGATCTAATATGGCATAGACTTGCCTCTTTTTGAATACAGCTTTTTAGGAATAAGTGGGTGTTCTTGCAAAGTTTGTAGTGTAGTCACAGTTGGCTTAGCAGTAACAAGTTCCTAGTTGTGCAGTTGTCAGTCACACAGAGGTACAGATTGTCCAGAAACAAAGGACAATCAGCAGCAAGGAATATATAATGTAGTGATGTCCTCCATTTTGAATTGTGCTGTAACCTCCATCTTGAAAAATATGTAGTTTGTCCTTCAGTGACCTTCAGAGCCACCTAAGAAGCATATAATAAGGGACATATAGTAGGTGTGTCAGGAAGTCTGTAACCACCTGAGGATCTCAGCCAATGGAGAAACGGGAAGGAACCAGCACTCCAGGCAAAGGGGATAAAATAGGCTGAGACCTCCACTGAGTTGAGAGGCCTTCACTGAGATTTGTTCAGTGAAGTCTCATAGTTAGCTCCTCTGTCTCCTGGCTATTTATGCAGCTCTCAGTACCTGGATTTTCCAAATAGTAGGAAGCTGTAATTTCCTTTGGGCAGGCACTTGATAAAGAAAAGAAGTTCTGTTTGGGGACACAAATGACGACATCCTGTGGTCGCTCATGGGATGATGAAAACATGCCTCGTTCCATAGAGAAAACTGCCATAGCCCCACTGCTGTGTAAAAAAAAAAAAAAAAAAAAAAAAGGCAGCTTCTGGTCTACAGGGATGGTCCTCTTTTGTTCTCCAACTATAACTATGCAGGGTTAGATCCAAGCCATGCAGAGCTTTCTGAGCTCATACAATCATTATTAACAAGGATGTAAAGCAGCTTTCCAGCAACTCCAACTTACTGGATTGGTGACTTTTTCATTGTAAACTTTAGAAGACTTTTCTGATTTAGGTGGCTTTAGAATAGGGTGTTGTTTTATTTCTGGTTTCTTTTTTAGGAATCTGGACCAAAATGACAGCCTGAAACACGCAGGCCTAATAAGTATGTGGACATTCCCCATCCTAAAGAAAGTTTACAGGCAAAGTGAAATAGGACCCAGAATAAGGATCTTGGCTTGTAAAACTTCTCTCTGCCTGCTCTGGACAGAAGCATGTTGCAGGCTCTGACAAGCAGCAGTAGGACAGAACGGCAGGGCGAGAGGAGGCATCACTGCAGCAGAATTCACCCCTCACTCCCCACAGCAGCCTTTGTTCTGCTGCTTCCTTGCAGAGGGATAGGAGCACCCCCTGCCTCCAGCCAAAAAGAGACCAAAGTCTCAGTATTTAGGAGTTAACATTTTATTGGACTTCAGTTGATGGAGAACAGAAGGGCAACAATGGCTCAGGTGTTCAGTCACAAGTGTCACATACAGGGGCTTAACCCAGTTTGCAGGGAGACAATTGAGGAAGTTGTTTTTAAACTACTCTCCAAGGAAGAAAGGTGGATCCACAGCCCTGTTTTAATGTTCCCAATTACTGTCCTCTCAGTCAGTTTCATATCCTTCCCCAAAAGAAGCTTAGGACACACCTCTCCCCCATGAGCTAAAGAAATAAATGGTAGTAAACTCAGGGAAAGAACTAGACTTCAGAGTCACCTGTGCGGGAATCCACATTTGTGGCTCTAGAAAGATTGGTTGTGACAGACTATTTTTAACAAAGCTAACAAATGGGCAAAGTTTCTACTGTGACACTTTAACCCAACTTGTGTATAAAACCTGTTGAAGTACTTTGCCTCAACATGTGTCTATGTGTTTTACAAATCATTTCCAAAGGATCTGGATATTACTTGGCTCACTGACAAGGGGAACCCAAGACTTTAAAGCAGGCCTGTGAGTTGCTTCAACTGACAATGCAGAGCAGCCCAAATGCCATCTCTTTAACCCTTCATAACATGGTGATTTTTGGGGAGTTTGCCCAACTTTCTACCACGTAAGGCCAAGAGTTTGCATTAACCAGAAAAGTCAGAAAACAGCACTTATTCTAAAGTATTACAATTTGCTACAATATTTTCCTAAATTATGGACAACTTTTTAGCAGAGGTACTGGGTCTCAACCATCTAAGAAAAAAATTCTTTCAATGGACAGCCTGAGTCTTGAAGAAAAGGATGGACCAGAAAAAAGCAGCTTCAAATATGATATAAGCAACAACACCACCACAGGGAGTTAACAATACTGAAACTTCTTTAATGAAAACGTGAAATACTATCTTATATACTATTAGAGGAACTGGATCTTGGGTTTTAAATACACAAGATACTTTTTAATACTAACTTATATAATCTTACAGAAAATTATCTTCAGTTCTAAATAAATAAGCAACTGTTCAATACTAAGATAAAGAATCTTAGGGTAAGTAATCTTCAGTTTCAAAAAATAAGCCAAGTTCATAGATATGTATTGGCAGAAGCAGAAAACTGGTGCCAGGACTCCTCTTACTGTTTGTCAAATTCCTGTATTAGTCTCTTAATGTGAGACAGCTTGTTGTGCAGGCTACACTAAAAAGGAAAGGTGAAAAGAAAAGCAGGGCATGCAAACATTTCTGGAGAGTTTAGAATTCCATGTCCTGGAGGGATGCGTGGAGTGAGGGGTATGACTCAGCCTAACATTCATGCTTCGGCCCATGTATTCAGTAGCAGGCATATACCTATGCATTTCATTCCTCAGAAGTCATCTTAATATGTATTAGCTGCTGGGGTCTGCACAGAGAGTCTCAGAGGGTCTTCTTGGGGGTCTTTAGGCACCCCAGGGGGGTTGCTGAGCATTTGGACTTTGCTCGACCCTTCATCGTG